ATACTTTATAAGGCTTTAGTCCTTTTTTGTATTCTGGAAAGCATATATAAAAACCCACTGTGATTTTTATTTTCTACTTGAGGTGTGGAGCTAAAATTCATGACTTGGGGGTGGGGGTCCCTCAGCCTGGCCTGTGCCCTCTCACAGTCCGGGAGCCCCGTGATCAATCGCCCCAAAGAGGTAGCCCTGCCCACCCTACTGCTCCATGATGGATCACCCCTGCAGAGGGAGGCCCCGCCCACCTGCCACAGTGCCACCACGGGGTAGCCTGGGCCTGATTGATCAATCATCCCGCCAGCTGGTGGCCTCGGCCTCCCTCTGCAGGGCGATCATGGGGCAATGGCTGGGCCCCCAACCAATCACATCACACCCGCCTTGGCTGGCATGGCACCAGTGGGTGTCATAGTGTGGCCATCCGGAAGGTTGTCTGGACAGTCGTTCTGCTGTTTGGTCATTCTGTTGATTTGCATATTACACTTTTATTATTATAGATAATATATTTAGAATATTTTATTACATATTTTTGCTTTTTTAAAAAGAATTTTAAAAATATTTTTATTGCTTTCAGAGAGGAAGAGAGAGGGAGAGAGAGAAACATCAATGATGAGAATCACCGATTGGCTGCCTCCTGCATGACCCCCACTGGGAATTGAGCCCGCAACCTTGACATGTGCCCTTGACCAGAATCGAACCTAGGACCCTGCAGTCTGAAGGCCGACACTCTATCCACTGAGCCAAACAGGCTAGGGCTTGTTACATATTGTTTTCCTCACTCATCAACAAATGTTTCTTAAGTACCAACTTTATTTACTTATTTATGTTTTAATCTTTATTCTTGAATATATTATAGATATCCCCCCCCTTTTTCCCTCCTTGCTCCCCACCACCTGGTTCCTGCCCTGCCCCAGGCCTTCACCACCCTATCTATTGTCTGTGTTCATGGGCAATGCATATATGCCTATAAGTTATTTGGTTAATCTTTTCCTGTACCCTCTTCCCTCTGTGATTTTGAGTGTCAACTTTATGGCAGGCTCTAAGGATAAAACAATAAGATTCATACTGTCTGTAGGAGCTGACAGTATAATAGAAAATATATACTTATGGATAGATCTTTCAGTATAATATAAAAGTATGTATTTAATTGTCAGCAGTATTCTTTTAAAAAATATTTTTATTGATTTCAGAGAAGAGAGAGGGAAAGAGAGATAGAAACATCAATGATGAGAATCATTGATTGGCTGCCTTCTGCACACCCCCTATTAGTGATGGAGCCCAAAACCTAGCCATGTGCCCTAACGGGGAATGGAACCATGACCTCCAGTTTCATAGGTCAACCTCAACCACTGAGCCACCAGCTGAGCAGGGCAGCAGTATTCTTCATGTTGGGACCTTATATAATGTCTGAAATACAGTAGACACTCAATTTTACCATTCCTCTATTGTTGGATAATTAGGTTTGTAGCAGGTCCTGCTTATTGCCTGCCTTTTTCTTTTCCTTACTGTCAGAATTCCTATTTTGTTCAGATAAATGAAATGGGGAGTTCAGGGAGAACCTTTGATTTCAGGAAGGGAAGGCCCTTATCCCAGTGCCAGGGAACGAATTCATGTTGGTTTGAACTAGTCACAACAGTCCATTCCCTGTTACCAGTGGATTGGTCTAGGGGTAATCCTGTTTTGCTCAGTAATATATAAAGGAAACTCTGCAGGGTGTTTGCTTTGTTTAGTTTTTTGTTGTTTTTTTTTGGGGGGGGGTTGTTGTTGGTGGTGGTGGTGTGTGTATGTGTGTGTGTTTATTTTGAAACATTTTCTTTCCAGATGAAAAGATTCTTGTAAGGTAAATGCTTTGGATCCCTCATTCCAGTATGTCATTTCAAATGTGTACTTAGCAGCTATTTTGTGACTGTGAGGAGATGCTATGACTATGGAGGAAAAGCAGACCTGCTGTGAATCACAGATCAAAGAGGTAGAGAGGGCATGGTTTCTTGGTGATGATGTTGAGCTGGTACACTAACCTGGGACATCCCACCTCCAGACTTCTTGTTTCATGAGATATTTAAAAGTCTTTATGGATCAAGCAATAGTTAATTGGCTATTATATCACTTGTACTGTAAGTGACACAAGGTTTTTCTGATTATTTCTGTTCTACACACTGCTGTAGTTAACATCTTTTTTAATACATCTTTGATGGTATTTCTGATACTTCCTTAAATCAGATCCTTATAAATGAAACTAGAGGCCTCGTGCATGAAATCATGCGTGGGTAGGGTCCCTAGGCCTAGCCTGTGATCAGGCCATCTTCTGCCCACTCGCCAGTCCCCAGTCCTGCCCCGCTGCCGCCCACCCCAGTTCCCCGTGATTCCCTGTTCGCCATCCAGCAATCGTAGCCTGTGGGCTGCGGGGGAAGGAGGGGGGGGAACGAGAGGTGGTCAATGCACCTTATGGCAACTGGTCGAGTGGTTGTTATAGTTGTTACGTCACTGGGCTTTTATTATATAGGACTAGATGCCTGTTGCACGAAGAGATTCATGCAATAGGCCTTCCTTTCCCTTGGCTGCTGGCACCAGTTTTCCTCTGGCACCCGGGACCCAGGCCTTTGCTCTGGCTGGGCTTTGGCCAGAGCCCCACCCCGCCCCCCCGCCAGCTGTCAGGCTTCACGGCTCCGCTGATCCCGGGGCCGTGAGGCCTCACTGCTCGGCCGGCTTCTGGTATGTTTGGCTTCGCTCCACCGCTTGGAGCCTGCGTATGCAAATTAACCGCCATCTTTGTTGGCGGTTAATTTGTATATTGCCCTGATTAGCCAATGGGAAGCGTAGCGAAGGTACAGTCAATTACCCTTTTTGTCTTTTATTAGATAGGATAACTGGATGAAAGAATGTGAGCATTTTTAAGACTTTTGATACATATTGCCAAATTGTTTTCAGAGATCCACTTTATTTTTCTCTTTCCATGCTTAACAATTTTTCTTTCCTTGAGCCTATATGAG